GACATTTTCAGGGACGGACTAGCCATCTGTATAATTTCCCCGCAACGAGGCTCCCGCTTTGACAATCCACTAGCGCAGTGTTTCTCAAACATTTTTTTCACCCCCCCCTGAAAAGTTTGGGAACCCCTGCCTTAAATAATATTGCCACAGAAAAACTTTTCAGTTCACATCACGCTCTGCCGATCCGACAGGGAGCTCTGCTCTGAACACCTGAACGGCCCGTTCTAACAGCTGTTCACCAGCGGTCCAGTCTGTGCCACAGTGACTCCGGACGCACAGTTAATATTAATGAACGCACCCGTAGGTAATGTAGCTGCTGAAGCTAGACCATCATCTCGGAGCAGCAGAGCCTTATTATACATCCATGAGCAGAGCCGACAGGCAGGAAGACTCGAGCACACAGCTCGTACTTCATTATAATATATAAAAAAAGAACACCATGCGTGTCATGATGGCACATAACAGCTCACGGCCGCAGATTACTCCGGGTCCCAGCCCCGTCCATACCCCAAAAATATTTTTATTGCAGATCAACATGAATCACACAAACGACCTATTTTGGATTCAAAACGGCGAATTTCGCCGAAAGGTGACAAATTTGCATCACTGCACTTTCAAAGCCCTCAACAACATTGCCCCCCCTACCTCTGTGACCTCATCCAACGACACACCCCCACCGGTCGCCTCAGGTCTGCTGAAGCTGACCTACTGCAGCCCATCAGGACAAAGCTCCGGACCTGGGGTGACAGGGCCTTCGCAGCAGCCTCCCCCACACTCTGGAACTCCCTCCCCAACCACGTCAGATCCGCCAACACTCTCACATCATTCAAACAATCCCTCAAAACTCACCTTTTCACTCTTGCCTTCAACTCCTAATCAACTAACCCCTTGCCCTTATTCCACCTAGCTTAGCACTTTCTACTTTTGTCGTTATTTTGTTTTACTTGCTTGTAAGCGCTTTGAGCACCAGGAAAAGCGCTTTATAAATGTAATGTATTATTATTATTATTATAAAATGATGCAGAGTAATTAAGGTTACGAATGACTGATGATGAGTGGAACCAAACTTTTCCTGCCGTCCTGTCAATATTGTTGTTTACATTATGAGGGTCATGTCCCAGCCTCTGACAGTCTGCTGCAGTGCATTTGTCTCTCCAGTTAGCAGCAGAGTTTTACCTTGTCCATGTCACCATGGGTTCAGGATAGCCATCAACAGCACAAGTCAGCATGGCGGGCTGCCCGACATCTGCTGTAGCATTCACCTCTGACTGCCATACCCTGATGGTCGGGAGCACTGAGGCACACAGAGATGGATACATAATGAAAAAGACAGAATGAAAAATATATTGGCAGATACAGAAGCATGTAGCAACATAGATAAAAAGCAGGGGGTTGGAGACAGAAGCTGTGACAAATTCAGAGCACTTATTTTAGGCGTCATTTGCTCGGCTCAGAAGTTGCTGGAAAACAGACTTAATTTGCATGGAACATCTTTGATGAACGGTTGCTCAGGGCAACTGTTTCCACATTGATGCTGGGCCTCTAAGGACATACAGCTTGTTTAAGCGTCATTGGACACCTGTCACACAAAAATATGCACACAGGAAAAAACAGAAAGGAGGAAAAAGTGGCGAGGGGCTGCTTACCGTTCACTACGACCTTGATGATCCGCAGATCAATCTCGCCGCGGGACATAAGGCGACCCTCGCAGGTGTATAAGCCCTCATCAGTCTTCTTTATGCCGCGGATTTGAAGGTGATTGTTGCTCAGTAACTTAAAGCGAACTGAAAGAAAGCAGAACATAAAAGGCATTGTTAGATGTGTCATTATGTTTGGCATGTTTAAAAGAGGAACGATTTGATATAAAGAACATTGTCATCTGAATTAGTTTAAATTCACTTTGATATATCTGGCTGACAACATCTTAACACTGATGTATGATTTATTCACTAATATCTCTGCTTTATTATTACAGATTAATGTTGACTTTTTGCATTTTCATCTAGCTGTCTCGAAATATGCAATACTTCTGTCTGTCTGGGGGATACTTTTACATAGAAAACTACTCTATTTCGAAACGGATTATATGTCATTTCCACTCCTTCAAACTCATATGTAAGCAAGCCCCCAAACTCTTTTCACCAGCTCCAGAAAAGCAGGAATATGACCCAAAAGAGCTCTCTAACTTGGGGATGAAAAGTGAACCCAACACATTTAATCATGTAGTAATTCAAAATACTGTTACAACCCACACATGAGCTCGCGTTATTATTTTCCAGTGAGCAGAACCAACAATACCTAACACATGATGATATTGCTCTGTGTCACAGGTGAATAACAGAGTATGCGCTGGATTTTCAAATTCCAAACCAAATTAATTTTTCTTTCAGAGCACAGGATCAACCCTGGAGGAGAAGGGCAACAGACGCAGGGCACGGACAATTTCAAGTCTCTAATGTCGGCAAATCTGCATAACTGTAATAGCTTGCTGTGTCTCGAGCTTGTATTTTGACTAGCCTTCTTGTTTTCATAGTTGTACATACTAATTACAATAAATTAGTCCCATTTTGAGGTCAGACTTTTATTTTAAAAATATGCTTCATGATAGTTGTCATTAGCCTCCATTACATTACTTTAAAGCTACATTTTGCACATGTTCTGACCAGATTACAGTTGATATGTGTGTCTTTGTAGTTGGTGTAAAGAAGTGGAATTATTTGCTGAATGATTTAAAGGGCATTAAGAAAAATGTTTATGTTTAAGAAAATGTTTAAAGAAAGCGTAATTAGACAGTATGAAGCTGACTTTTGATTGTGTTCTGGTTTTATGCTTCAGTATTTGTAAGTAACTGTGACTGAAAAACTATTGCCATTATTTGACTTTTTAATAGTTATTTCATTTTTTTCTAAGAAGGGGCAGGTCAAATGAGATTTTCTTCACCCTGCTCCTTTCCACCATGAGCTATAAATGAAAAAAAACAGTATAAGTGGACATGTTTTGTTTTAAAATAACTGCCATGTGTGGAATAGGCAAGGCACGTTTATTTATAGAGCACCTTTCAACACAAGGCAATTCAAAGTGCTTTACAAAAAATGAAAGACATTAAGAAAATGGCATTTAAAATCAGTCATTAAAAAGAAAATAAACAAATAAATAAATAAATATGGGTGTGATAATACATGAAAATGATATAACTTTGATTCTTCATATTACAGATTTTAAATCATATGCAAACCATTTAGCAAATTACAACATGTAATCTAAATTTCCAAAAATATTTAGAACATTCATTAAATAATGTTTGTCAAACCTTAAAGACTGAAACCACAGCAGCTGAACACCAAATCTTGTTGAATAGAAGAATGATCCCCTTTGCTGTTCAGGGAGCTCTTACCATCTTTTTCCATGTGTATCTTTGCTCCTTTATACTTCCAGAAGACAGTGGGGAGGGGCGAGCTGACGACGTCACAGATAAGGTTGGCCTGGTCTCCTTCGTTAAACTCTTGGGGTGACGGTGCGTTTGTGAAGGTGATTTTTTCTGGAATATGAAAGGAAAAACACGTTTTTACTCGTATTTATTTTATCTCCTTTTAAGGATGACTGTTGTGAAGAACACTTTTGTATTCAATTATACAGATATAGGAAATTAGCTTTGAATGTCTTTTCAACTAGCGATAGGAAATCTTATATGATAAATAAATAGCCACTTTTTTTATTTTCCTGAAAACAAAAATGACTGGAGAAGTACTTGGCAATTTGACATATCAATTCTCTTCTCAGCATATAACATTATTTTACAACCAAACTTTATTTTTGTAAAACGGTGAAGAGGACTTTCTGACATCAAGTTCCTGTCAGACAGTTTATGAGTTACCATAGCTACAGCATTTCTTATTAACAGTAATTTAAAAAACCCACTAACTGGTTAATGAAGAGCTTGGCATGGTGATAATGTTTCCTTTCAAACTAGACTGACAGGAAAAGATACAGAATAACGATAAGCCTCCCGCCTATAAGCTACAGTATCTCATCAAAGCTCATCATATCAAAGCGTTCTCAGCCAGTGTGCAGTTCACGTGAGCGACACGTTGTAATGTAAACAAAATCAGACCTAAAACAGTAGCTTTATAAAAAAAAAAAAGTGCCTCTACAAACTGCTGCCATGCTTCCAGAGCTGGCAGAAGTTGTCATGTGTATACGGTATCTGCTCTGAAGATATCAGTATATTGATTATTTTAAATGTGTTAGGGTTTGATTTCTCAAGTTTCCGTTTGAAGTGCTTCACATCTAAAAGAACAACTTTTCCTTCTTAAAAAACTATTTTTCAATTCACATTTACTGAGCCAAGAAAAATTTAAATTACAAACTGAAACTGCAATCTTATTTTGCAATAGACTGTATATTGATTTTAATATGCAATATCCACATGGCTGACCACTTGTAATAACAGGAAAAGTTGTGTTTGGCAAAGGATTTCATCTCTTATAGACATTTGCTGATGCTTGGCATTCATGGAAAATAAAAGCCATTACTCACAAGAACTGCACAACAGACAGGATCATTAAGCAGCCCTCTAATGGTCTTCCGACCGTTTATTGAACTGATGAAAAATCCCCCCTCACTTGAAAAGAGAAAGAGTAATGTGCTGCCCTTGAGCAGTCAATAAAATACTACGAGTTCAATAGACAGGACTTGTTTCTTCTTCTGTGTTCTTGCCACTCAATAATTTGTTGAGTGCATGGGGTGAGGAAAATACTTACGGAAGATTTTCACTTTGACAGTTGCCTCTGCCTGCTTGTCTCCGTTGGTAGCGACACACTTGTATGTCCCTGCATGTTCAGTCCCAGCTTTGTAGAGTGTGAGAGTGGATGACTCATCGTTACGGCTCACAGTTACGTCTGGTCTGTTCGGCTCTATCCTGTCCCCATTTGGTCCGAACCATTCTATCTGCCTGGCGACGCCTTCGACTGAGAGCACAGTGAGGAGAAGTTATAAAACTGTTATCTAACATCAGAAGGTCAGCAGTGCCCACTGGCTGTACATTGTTGTGTATGCTCCTGCATGGACTCAAACATGTGTTTTTAGCTCTTTATAAACATAAAAGTCAAATAACTAAAAACCATACATAAATTTTTTGCCTTGACCAGATGGTGAGGACGATAGGAAACGCAGGATATTAGCAAGATATCAAGGTGGTAATTGTAACACAAGAATGTGCAGCGGCATTCCCTTTTTCTACTTAAGTAAAACTTGTTTTTGAGTTGGGAAGCCTAACAGCTTGAGAAAAAAAAACTGCTCTATAGTGTGGTGGTTAAGCAGAGAAAACGTCTGTATGGCTGGGCAGACAGCAGCGAGATGAACAGGCGGTTGCTGGGGTAGATATTCTCTTTCAATATTCATCTTTGGGCTATTTGCAGCCGCCTCACCTCACCAATATCCCTGAAGCTCGGTAGACGGTACCAATGACGTTCTGGGAAGGTAGGGGGTCTCATGTAAATAAGGGGGATCATTTATAAAGATTAATAACATGTATGCTAGAGATGTGGCGATTGGCTCTGAGGCCATCCAATCCACATTAACATATAAATCATCCATTCAGCACCCAAAGAGGAATTATTTTCTCCAATTTAGAGACCTGCTCTGGCACGGACGCTGCACCTCTAACGGGTCCTGGGGGATGTGAGGGCGAGACTGTCTGCTGAATCGCGACTGAGCAGACACTATAAAGTTTAAAATATGGTCACAGATCTGTGGATAAACCGTGCTGTCTGTGGTAATTGCAATACGCACACCACTTATCCTAGTATCCTTAACAATCAGGATGTACAAATGATTTTTTTAATATGGCTTTGTAATGTGTTTATACAATAATAATACTAGTGCTTGGAAATGTTAAGTACTTGTACTTCATGTTTAATTATTTGTATTTTGTCTACGTAATAGTTATCTATGTTGCAAATATACAAAGTAGGACAACTGTTTTGGTTTAAGAAAAATTAATTTGAAATATGACGAAACTTTTTCATTAAATAAGATTGTAAACAAAAGAAAAACACATTTTCCTTTTGGCATTTTGTATGCTTTCCTCTTCTTTTCTTCTATCACTGTAAGCTCTACAGTATCTTTAGAATATGTATGATGTATGTAAAATGTGACATGTTGGATGCAGGTGTGTGTTTACCGTGTGAGAGTTTAGTGAACTTACCTTCACACATGAAGAACTTGGACTCTCCGAGACTAATCTCTCCATGAGTGGGTACGATCTGCACTTCCAGTGAAACTTTAAACGAGAAAACACAAAATCAGACACTTAATTAGCAACACAATAAATGAAGCACGAAATACAGTATAGACATTATTACAGTGTGCCATCGAAAGGCAAGGAAGGAATTAGCTACCTGCAGGCGATCAGTGCTACAAGAGCAGTTTCATTTCCTACACGATCAGCCAATTACTGATAAGAGTATTATGTTGGCCTGACACTTGGAGTTTCATTATATATCTTTACTCCTCACAGTCACAAGCTGATTTGTATTCTTATTTGATTATATTACACCAGCTAGAGACCACTGTGAGTCAAATTTTGTTGAATTTATTTTGGTATTCAATATTTCATTTAAAGTGAACAGTTGGTACAAGTAGTAAATGTCAAACTTTAAACCGACAATCAGCAGATTAGAGGAAATTGAAGAATCAAGCTGTGATTAATTCCCTACAGGAAGCCCAAAAATCAGGATCACATCTGTTAAACTACATTTGGGAAAAGGCAGCAGGTACTTGGAGCCAGTGGAGAGCAAAGCATGCACATCAAGAAAAATTGACCTTGTTAGTTTTAGCACCAGCTGCAATATTACCAGAACCCCCCC